TCACCCTTCTGATAGATACTGCTGCTCAGGAAAAAAAAATTATGTTAGCATTTCTTTCTCCCTCCCACCCCCTGCTTTATTTGTACAACTTGAAATTCCTGATAATACACCTACAGGAAGGCTCTATAAAAAGTTTCTCAAATATTTCCAAATAGATTAACTAATGGCCAAAGGTGCAAAACATATACATACATAACAAATCTCAGGATATTGTGATCTTTATCATCACAGTACTGTGTGCACTGCACAGCATATGAAGCAACTGATAAAAAAAACCTAATTCCGTATCAAGAACCTGTAGTTATAATACGTATAGCGGCCCTTGGAGCAGGGCTGTGGCTCATTGGTAAAGCACTTCCCTTGCATGTAGAAGGTCAATCCCTGTCATCTGCAGCTACAACGGAGAAAGACATACCTAAAACCTTGCAGACATGCTGCCAGCCAGCATAAGCAGTACTGAGTTAGGTGGACCAAAGACAGCTTCCTGTGTTCCTATGTTCCTAATACATAATTCACAAGCATATATAAGGAATCAATCCGAAGTGGGGAGCAGTGGAGTGCAGCAGATCTAACATTGCATCTGAAGCCCTGGCACTGTGCTGACCAGGGCAAAAGGGGTGTGTGTGTATGTGTGTGTGCATGTGTGTGTGTGTGGTGGAGGCATGTGGTGTTCTGCCAACTCTAGGTTGGTGCAGCAGAAGGTACTGGATGAAGCCCTCTCTAGGAAATGGACTAGCTTGGGATACAAGCAGTTCTGTTGCTAGGCCTGCTCCACTCCAACCCTTCCCCATAACACACAGTTTCAGAACCTTCCAATGGCTAGTGCTAGCAGGGACACAGCAAACTAACATGCACTCTGCTGTATTCCATGGAAGTCGAGTCAAGTCCCCTCATTGCCAGTAGAATTCACCAAAGGGTCACCTTCACCTCATCCTAACCCCATCCAACAGCACAGAGTGAGGAGTTTGAATTGCACTGCAACTCCCCGCTCTGCTGGCGATAGGTCTTTTCACGGAATTCTGTTTTGGCAAAGATTGGAGCAAGAGAGGTCAAGGAGACATACACTGTTGCAAGCTCTACCAGGATTCAGATATTGCTAGCATATTATTGGCCCATTAAGGTCAAACTCAAGGCCACAGATTATCTAAGAATGGTATAATGAAATGAAGCCTTAACTAGACTGCTTGTTGCATCAGTTCCTCTCGAACAGAGTATGGATAAACATCTCATTCCCTCTTCAAGGTACCACTTCTTTTATCTGCACGTACTCTTGTCATGTCTGATTTTGATGTACGGTAATTAATTTCTAGGGGCTCTTTATACTAATTCACCTGAAAGTTCAAGGATGTTATCCTAGGATATCAGCTAATTAATCAAAGGTTACATGTTGTCCATTAATCAACAATCTCTTGTGAAAAACACATCTTTAGAGTACTGAAGGCTACAAAAAAAATAAAAAATGCCATAAGTATATTAGTATGTTAACTGAAGTTTATCACTTGGTTTATTGAGAATATGATAATTTATACACAATGTTTCTGCCATTGGAAGCAGCTTGGGGGATGGACTTCCGGGTTAGCGCCTCCAGCAATGGCGGAATTCCTCTGATCGGGAGGAATCCGCTCCGTGGAAATCAGGGTCTGGCCGCCACGGCGAAGGCGGAGATCCACTAAAAACCACAGGCAGGAGAAGACTGTGGACGTGGGATTCGGCTGGCACCTTTTGTGCCTCCTCTACTCGCAGGGAAACCCGGTTTCGGGGGTCCGGAGCGACGTGGGGTGAGTGGGACGGTGCTTCGAATCGACTGCTTCTTTCACGGAGTGAAGCCGCATTGCTGTTGCAGGAGAGCGCTGACTTTTTCCTGTGGACAATTTGATCTTAAAACAACTACCCGTGAGTAGAACGGAAAATTGGATTTTTAAACGTCTTAATTTGGCACCGAAACGGGGAGGTTTCAAACAGGAAGTCCGCCTTCCCCTTTTGTAAATAGATTGAAGCAAAGAGGCTGCAAGCTAAAGCCTTGGAAAGTCTCTCATAAAGGATTAAACTTCCATCGGTTAAATCATCAAACCCCCCTTGGAAGCAGGAGAAGAGGGGGGAAATTTAAGATCGCGTAAGCCTGCAGGAGAGAGTGAAGAAAGTCAAATTACCACCGCTCTGAACCTGGAAACGGGCTGCTAGCAAGATTGAAGTTTCGGATATGCTCATTGACTGTGAATAGATCGTCTGCTGACAGTAAGTTAAAGAAGAGAAATACATTGTTTCCATTGTCTCCTTCTGCATTTAAAAAGGAGTAAAAGTAACTGAAAATTGAAACTAACTTTATTGTTTGAACTGTGATTAAAAGGATTGATACAAATAGAAATTGTTTCCCCCTAGAGGAAGCCTTTGAAATTGTTACAAGAGCTGAGCTGGGGGAATTTTCCACCTGCAAGATAAAACTGTGAGAATCTGGGATTGACCTTGAATCGTTAAGAATGTTGACAGAAGAAGCCTTAGTGGTTGCATTTTGTAAGATTAATGATTCACTGGAACAGCTTTATAAGAAGACGGATGCGAGGACTATAAAAATTGATAACTTGGAACAAAAAGTGACTAATTTGGCACAAAAAGTCAATATTAATACAGAAATTATTCAGGAATCGATACAGGGATCTATTTTGACATGGCAAATTGAGGAGAAGGCAGGGGAGAAAGTTTTTGTTGTGGAACCTAAAGTGGCACAAGTGGTGAGGGAGAGAGCCCCAGCCTTACAGTTGCAATTTGATGATTATAAGTTGATGCCTTCCAAGACTGAATTTAGAGAAAGTCAGACTTTTAGGATTGGAGCCCCGCTTGGACTGGAGAAAGAAAGTTGGATAGATCCCCTCATGCAGGGGTTTATTGACCTTTGGGACCTGGACTTGGGTCAGGAGGAGACTGGAGTTGTGGGGACTGCCAGACTTGGAGGAACTTTGAAACACGACTGGAAATATCTTTTGAATTTCAGTTCTAACTATGGAGATTTGGCTGACTTGTCGAGAAGGAATAAAAACATTGCTAGATGGGAATTTCCCGGAGATCTACTTTTCAGCATCAAAGGAAGGAAAATAAGAACAAGATCAGGAGAAGACAAAGTAAAGTGCATGTATAAACATGAAGAAGACTTGCAGAAGGGACCTGGAAAAGAGTTAAGAGCCTCGGACAGAAGATCACCAGGTTGATGGGCTTTATGGAATTGACGGAAATGACTGGCAGAACCCGAGACCAGGGAGAAGAGACGGTGGAAGAATATTGGAAAAAGTTTAAAATCTATATATGGAAATAATGTAAAATTAATGAGTGTTAGAAAAATGTTGGAAGGGAATTATACGGCTTTAGTAGAAATATTTTAAGGAATTAAGTATAAATAAGTATTATAGTATTAATGGAAAATAAGGTTAAAATATGTTAAGATAATTACATGACAGAAAATAGAGAAAGATGGAAAGGATTTGCTGAAACAATTAATAGAAATGGAATACAAAAAGGGAGGTGAGAGGAGGTCGATGAAACAAGGGAATGAAAGAGAGGATATTGAGATGGTATGATGTGTGTTTTTTGAATTGTTTTTGCTTTTGTTTTGTTTAATGTGTTAATGTTAATGTTGTGTTCTGTATTGTTTATATATTGTATTGTATTGTTTTTTCTTTTGCTTTTCTTCTTCTTTTCTTTCTTTTGCTTTTCTTCTTTTTGTAAGGTTTAAAAGCAATAAATATTATTATTTTTTTAAAAAATGGAAGCAGCTTGGGGGACAAAAGTGGACATAACTGAAATAACTGATTGCTGCTGTCTCATGCTTTTAGTCTCCTCAAATATTCTCTTATTATTACTGAAGCCCAGAGGCAACTGGGAAACAATGTTGATGGAGACATCCTAGCCAGATATGCTATTAATAAAGAATTGTCTGCCAATTCATTACCAAGTCAAATTCAAAATGTTACTTATAAAGCCTCACCCATCTTCCCTATGGCCCTGATCTGTGGCCTCTGGATGAGGCTGATTTGTCCTGTGCCACCAAGGGGGGCAGGGCTGAGGGTTTTAAAAACCCTATTTTAGCATCAAATCCTGTGCAGTACTGTTCTTTCAGGGGTGGCACATTCTGAGGCAGAATGGGAAGCTGCAGTCGCTCTGCTGCCACTGCTGCCCCACCCGCACCAAAGCCTCTTTTATCTGGGTTGCACGGCAGTGCCTGTGAAGCGGCAGTGATGATGGCAGCTCTCTTGTGAGCTCTCACGAGAGATCTTGTGATATTTCAGTGAGGTTTCACAAGATCTTGGCAGTGCTGCTCCGCTGGCAGCGAAGGCAGCAGGGTGGGAAGGGAGCCTGCAGGGACAGCATCACTAGGGCTTCCGTTCCCAGCGTGGCTGCCTCAGCCCACCTCATGAGCAGGAGGATGTAATCTTGCACAGTGCTGCTCCTTTGAGAGTGACTTCCTTGCATGCAGAAGCAGAGACTGTCATGGCTAAGCAGTAGCTCAGTGAGAGGATCTGATTCTGTGCAGTGCTGCTTCAGAGGACAGGGATGGGGAGAAGTCTGGCAGGAAGAAGGAGTGGCCTGGTAGGAAATTCACTCTATCCTTTGCAGTGAAGATGCAGCCGCCCAGTAGGACCCTCCTTTTTTAAATCCATATATGCCCACTCAACCTATTTAGTTTGCAAAACTGGGACTTTTCAGTGCTACATGATTTTCATTCTGCACTTGCACCTACACTCTGGAAATCCCTGCCCATTGACATTAGGCAGGCATCGTCATTGTATTGTCTTCAACATATGTTGAAAACCTTTTAGTTTAGGCAGACATACCCAAATATGTAAAGTAGACATACAATCCTATTTTCTAATGTAATTTTACCTGCTGGTTTTATTTATATCTTGATTTGTTTTGATTCTCACGTCTGACTTTTAGCAATAATTTTTATGTATCTTTTATATTTTATGCCATCTGTTCAGGGGCGTTTATAATAAAGTGGTATACAAATATACAAATTAGCTCAGTCAGTAGAGCATTTGACTCTTCATCTCAGGGTCATGGGATTGAGCCCCACATTGGGCAAAAAGATTTCTGCATTGCAGGTGGTTGGACTAGATGACTCTCATGGTCACTTCCGACTCTACAATTCTATTGACTCTGTCAATTACATTTTGGCCACCACGTACCATCGGAACCTCATCTGTGATTGACAGTAAGCTTTTATAGTCGGGCTACAGTCAAAGGCAGGAAGAAGAACTGAGAAGCTTGCCCCACTTGCCAAGCACACTCTCCAGGTTTTGCAGCTATGAAGAATTATCAGAGCACAGATGAGTACAATGGTTTCTGTACCATAAGTGATTGCACAATATCTGATCAGTAAAGACACCCACAAAGTCAATGCTGCATATCCTACTTTATTCAAAACATATTTCTACTTTATTCAACTTCCCAAAGGTAAATAAACAAATCAAATAGCCCTTGCTTTTTACAGGCATCAGATGCTTCTTGTTTCTATCTGTTTATTTGTACTTTATACCCAATATATTCAGTCGTGCTGCTTTTAACACCATCTCATTCAGCAGCAAATTAACTGTCCAAATGATGATTTATGAAAAGAAACTTCTATTGTATACTCCACTGTTACTGCTACAAATCTATAAAGAATGCATCCAATGCAGGTTAAAAGAAACCAGAAAAGTTATTATTAAACAGAATTCCATTACCTGAATTGGAGAAAAAAAATGCTTTCTAAAATGCATATAGTAGAGGTTGAGTGGCTCATAGAGAGTTATGTGTTAAAGAGTGGGGCTGCCATGTTGCTCTGTTGGGGCACCCCATACCACCCTCACTGTTCTTCTGGCTGGCTGGCTGCCTACCTGCTTGCTAACTTGTTGGGTGTGGCAGCTAGCCACTCTTTCCCCTAGAGCCAGGATGTCAGCAGCAGGAGCTCAGGTGGCCCACTACAAAAATGAAGCCACTCTGGTGCTCTCCATATGTTTTGGATAGTAACTCCCATCAGCCTAGGCTATTGAGCTCTTTATGCCTGCTGTGTATCTCAGCGCCCTTGGCTGTTCTGCTTTCACATTGTGCCAGTGTTTGTCTTGCATATGTCAGTCTGGAAGAAACAAACCATGAAACTGAGTCTGGATAGCACGCTGAACCCAAACCATGGTTTAGCTCACAGTAGCACAGCAGCAGCAGGACCAGAGGGAGAGCAAATCAGCCATGATCTCCTTTCCATGAACACATGTGCTAAGTCATGGTTTGGCATAGTTAACATGCGAACTGAGGCAGCGTGTAAAGAAATGTTGTACACTGTCTTCACAGATGTACCCTGATCCAGTAATCACTTGAGGACATGAAGATCTTTAAGCACACACAGAGTCTATTCCATTTACTTCAATGTGATTAAATGGCTCTTCTGCTGCAGTGTATGGGAAATGCTGCAACCACGGGGACAATGGCTGCACATTGGAATATTCATGTACCCTTGGAATGGGGCAATGCTGCTGTAGAACAAAGCCTATGCTTTAGTTGGCAATACAGTTGAATATAGATTCAGTACATGAATTTATGAGATCTGGACAGTATGCCTGCACAAAAGAGCTAAAAAAAATAGCCCCTGCCCCAATATAAATGTTTGCAAATTTCAATGGGGGGGGGGAAACAATGCAAAATTTTATTTTATTGCAAAGCTATTTAAAAGAGAGAATGGCATCATACAGCAAATGAAATGTTAATGTCCTTTGTAACTATACATACCTCGAATCCCAAAATTGTCCTATTCATGCAGCAAGTGAGGAGGCATCCTTCCCCCACTTTGCACTTGTCTTACAAATATAAAATAAATACTTAGGTGTGAACAAAACTATGCAATATTTATAGACAGGCATTTGTCAACAGCCTCTGGGAACAATTGCATGCTATCAAGACAATTAATACAAAACAGAACAGCCACAATGAAAATGCAGAAGCAGCATAGTGGACAATACTGAAAATGATCCATTATGTTCTAGGCCTGCAAGGTGATATATTACCAGATAATTAACCTCTTGATCTTATCCAGTGCTGGTATACCTATATTAGAAATACACTGTTAGAATGTTTATTCATTTATATTTCTCAAAAATATGCATTTACTTTTACAAATGCTATGTAAGATTTCTTTTTTCTGGAAAGTAGAAAGAAAATGGTCAGCTCCAAGCATTTACAAGAACTCAGCTTATGCTAGAACAAATTGCCAGGTTAAAAATAATAAAACAGAAGCATTCAGTGTATTGGTTTCCTTAACTTTAGGGCCGCCTGCAGTGCCATTCTCAAGTTTTCTGGGCATGCAGCAAAATTTTTAAAAGTTGTTGCAAAATAAATCTGGGGTTCATATAGGTGTCCTTCAGTCAGTCAAACATTTATTTGTTTGTGTGTGTCAGGTTAGCACAAAGCCATTACAAAATCTAAAAGTGAATTTAAAATATCAGTAGAAGGGTCAGTCATACATATCCCTAACCAAAGTTAAGAAGATTTGGTCAAATGGATGAAGTTGAAAACATCAAAACTGATTCCACACAGGTTAGTTTCTATTCCTGGAAGAAAGTCCTTGTGGCCCAAAGGGGTTAACTATACCAATAAGTAATGGGATGGTTGACACCTGTCAACTCTCTTCTGAACTAGGGGCTTTTGCTAGGTACTTAAAACATCCAGGACACAGTCCCATACACATAAATGTGCATTAAAGATTGCATATGTAAATTTATATGTCTAGATCATGGGTAGGCAAACTAAGGCCTGGGAGCCGGATCCAGCCCATTCGCCTTCTAAATCCAGGCTGTGGATGGTCCGGGAATCAGTGTGTTTTTACATGAGTAGAATGTGTCCTTTTATTTAAAATGCATCTCTGGGTTATTTGTGGGGCATAGGAATTCGTTCATATTCCCCCCCCCCCAAATAATCCGACCCCCCACAAGGTCTGAGGGACAGTGGACCGCCCCCTCCTGAAAAAGTCATCTTAAATGAATGCATTTCTCCAAATTAATATCCAGTCACACACACACACACACACACACACACACACACACACACACCACCTCATTCATTACCCACCCAGAAACACTTTAGGCTCTTAGAAAAATGTTCAGGGCTCATTCCATATGGTCCCACTCATAGCACCACCCTTGTCCTGGATCCAGCACTGCTTTTGATAAGCAGCAATTGTGTTCTCTTTGTAGTCCCTGCAACAGCTTTCTACCAACGGCATTTGCTTGATCCCATTTACAGCAATGTTACCAACTGTGTGTGTGTGATACTGTTCAAGCCAGGTAGTTCCGAAAGCTTTGGCCCAGGAGCAGCAATGGTTGTTGAAACAGTTTGCGGATGGAGAATTCCCACTTTTATCTATCAGCATCAGGCAATGGCAATGGAAGTAGACTATGTCAGAGTCAGCAGTGTTTAAATGCACAATTGCTGTCTGGCAACAGCTCCCATGCAGATATAGGCCAGTGTTGTGAACAGGGGCTACACACCTGCTGGGAACTGTGGATTTTTATCAGGCCAGCTGTGATGTCTCCTCCCTCCACTGCTTTCTCCTGGCTTGGATTCTACTTTCAGTATCAACTGGTGGGTTGGCTGTACCTCAACAGCTGAGTGGCTAGAAGTGAGAAAGTAAAGTTTCCATAGGCTGGCTTATGAAATTTTTGCAATGTTTAACCAATATGACATGGAATATGTGCTAAGAATGTTTGGAGAGACTGGGAAATCAGTTAGCTTATATGTATGGTATCTGGATGTACTCAGAGGTAGTGGTGCCCTTTAAAAATGAGATTATCCTTTTCATTCTTAATTGTACATGAGGCTCCCAAAGGAAGTACATTCTGCTAGTGTGTTGCTTCCAACACCTACGTGGATTCAATGCACAGAGACATTGACTGAGTGTGCTCATCACACTGAGCATTTGAAATGAATTTTTCAAGTTTGGTTTATTTGTGGGCTAAATCTTTAATGAATCATGCATGTCAAATTGTTTGATTTAAGAGTTAACGGGCCGGGGGGGGGGGGGAAACATTTTAAAAATAACTGATGTTGAGACGGATCCCACATGAGTTTCAGATTATTTATTCATTTTTTGCAATTATATTGTCTAGACCTCTGTTAGTAATACAAATAAACCATGCTGCTATCTAGAGGAGCTACTATTAAACTGAACTGGTTGAACAGAAAATGCATTTCACTCTAGTTCTAGGCAGTGAGAATTCAACCTGAGTAGGGTCTGGTATCTTGAAATGTATCTATCTAGGTATAGTAAAGCGTATTGCAGTTGCCTATTCTGTTTACCTGAAACTTCTACAGATTTGAAGCTGTATCCAGAATCTAGTTTCCTGCAAATGCTGGGACAAAACAAATGGGTCTTTACCTGATGGCGAAACCAAGAAGCATTGATGCCATACATGCTTCCAGGGGGAGGGTATTCCATAGACAAAGCATCTCTGGAAAGAAGACAATTTCCTGAATTTCTGCATAATGTGCAGCTCCCAGCAGTGTAGGTTTGAGAAGGGTCTCTGCTGCCAATCTTGGGACAGGGAGAGGTGCTCCTTCAGGTAGTTGGGGCCATGTATAATTTTATAGTTCACTGCCAATATCTTGAATTCAGCCTGTGCCACTTCAGACAGGAGTTTTTAGATGTCTGAATATTTGCTCTGCAGTGCCATGGCTTATATCTTCTCTCTACATACTTCCATTATATAAAACATGAAGGAGGAAGTCCTTTGAGGAGATACGTGAGATTTGATTCCAGAAACAGCTCATAAATCTCTCTGCAGAGATGTCCAAGTTTCCCTTTGCATTAGGGGTGTATGCAGTGAGGCAGAGCTGCATAGGCACCCCCAAAAACCAGCATCACTGTTGGTGGGGGTGGGGGCAGTGACAAGACTGTGGTTCTGTGAGTGCACCAGCAGGAGTGTTGGACTGGCAGCAATTCTGCTAGTGCAACAACCTGGCCACCATCTCACTTCAGCCCTGGCCAGATAAGCACCAGTGATGCAGGTAACAGGACGGTGTGTCCACCCCACCATTCTGCTTTCTGAGCACGAAGTG